TGACCGTGATGACGCAATCGTCCAAAAGCGCGCTATCACGTGTTCGGCGATCTAGCCTCGAGCCCAACCTTGGAAGACACGTCGCGTCCACATCATGCTCGACCAAAGTCACTCCAAGATGCATCAGAAGGCCAACCTCACGCTCCACCTCATACAAAGAAGAAAAAGAACAGCTCTGCAGCCGAAATTATGGTAGAAACACGCAAATTAGGTGATCTAACGTCAACGTAGGCTCTGGGGTGTTCACGTCTTTCCTTGCATGAGGTGGCCCCATGAAATGGCACCTCCCATGCTAAACCTAGCATCTGGGACATGTGGTACAGATCGGCAGCCTCCATGGCTTTCGAGGTTGGTACCCGGACACTATGCACGTTACTACCGCGCGTAACACAGGAGACTGTCGCTCTTCCCTGACCAGCATACTTCCTCAGTCGCACCTGTATGCTTTGTGGAAGGCGTGTTACAGCTGTCAGTATGGATCTGGGACAGCTTGATAACCAGCCCATATCTATGGTCATTGATCGAGTACTCGTACTTCCGAGCTGTACCCACAAAACCATACCCTGGAGGTATTCAGTGCGACTTTACACTTCTACAGGATACAAGACCGTGCCTACCTTCAAAGTCGCTTTTCATACGAGGCGGGCCTGGCGACACGCTCCTTCGCATTGCAAGGTTCTGCCTACTTGATCGTACCTCGTTGCTACCCTCAACAGGACTTGCGCCTACTACATCTACGTGACCGGATGTCTTGTTAACTCCCCATCCTGGTGGAGTTACCGGACGCATCAACATCATCATAATCATCAGCATCATCAGCTTCACCGACATCAGTAGCAACATCAGAAGCATCTATCACTATTACAGCAACTCATCATGGCCATGTCTATGAAGCCCACCGAAAATGGCATTCCACGCGCTCATATCCTGGGTCTTCCATTCACGGTTGACCGAAGCTCTCCGAAACTGCCTACGGTCGAGCCACAACCTGTTGCATACCCGCCGCGAGCACCGGAATATACTGGCTCTCAGTACTCTGAGGCAGCGGAGGAGATAAAGGTTCCAGCGCCAGATTCAGTCCATCTCCCAAAGAAGCCACATCACCGTCCATTTGGCGCGATTTCCAGCTGCTGCTCAACCAGTCGGCCCCACACACACCCTGCAGCGGCAACGGTACATGCACACGGCGATGCGCATGACGAGGAAGAAGTTCCAGCCTTGGAGAGCCCACCTACCCAATCTCACGCCATGGGTATTTGCTGCTTGGGGTCTCCCCGCCCAAGTGAGGACTCTTCGCTAAAGCATCTAGGTGATATTGCGATCTCGAGCGAACAAGATGACGTTGAGCTTGGCCCTTCAAATTTTGAGCGAGTCGTTCTCCGAATCGATGGTCTCAAGTGCGGATGCTGCGAATCAGGGCTTTCGCGGGCGGTTGGCCGCATCCCTGCCGTTAGGAACTTTCAAGTGAACACTGTCTTAGCTCGGGTCGAGCTAGAGTTGGATACCAACCGGCTGTCCGTTGACAGGATTATCGAGCTACTAGAAACGAGGACTGGATACAAATTCGAGGAGCAGGTGGCGGTTTCTGGTCAGGTTTTAGAGTTCATCATCACCGATCCCAGGCGTTTGCAGCATTCCGTCCAACCACGCGGTGTCACTCGTGTCGATGCCCCCGAACGAGCACCATGGCGTCCTTTCGGCTTGTTGAGTGGGCGCAAGGGCTTAACGCAGAAGCAGACGGCCGACGTCAATGGAGATCCCGGTGCCGAGGACAGCCCTCGCGGAACCTCGAAGCTACGTATACCACCGACCAAGATATATTACGACGCGAAAGTTATCGGTGCCCGAGACGTCTACGAACACTACCTCAAATACGATCCCGATCTAACTCTAGCACCTCTAGTGGCAGATCCAGGGCTTGATCTTGGAGCCAAGCAGACCAGAAGAGCCCTGAAATGGTTCCTTCCCACACTGGCTTTGACTCTCCCCGTCCTCATCTTCGCATGGGCCCCACTCAACCACGAGAATCCCACTTTCGCCCACATCTCATTGGCTCTGGCAACCCTCGTACAGCTAATCGCCTTCTACCAATTCGTCCCGAACGCCTTGAGATCTCTCTATCACTCTCACGTGTTAGAGATGGACTTCTTGGTGACATTCAGTACGCCAGCTTCAAACTCCATCCTCAAATTACGTTTGCTAACTATATACTTCCATAGGTACCACGATGGCGTACGTTTTCAGCGTCGTATCCTACAAGTACCAACTTGATGGTAGGCCACTAGAAACTGGATCGTTCTTCGAGACGTCTACGCTGTTGGTCTCGCTTCTCTTGCTGGGCCGCTTCATCAATGAATACGCCCGTTATCGAGGTAAGTGAAAGTACACCTTATCACCCAGGAGCCTACATCGCCTTTAGATATTGTGATCATACGCTTTAATACCGATCTAGTCTTCAGGACACATTCTAATCTTTTCTTGCAGCTGCGAAGTCGGTATCCTTCAGATCGCTCCAAGTCGACCAGGCAATCCTTGTGCAGCAGACCACGACGTCGTGGGCCAACGCAATCACGAGCAGAATCGACAGCAGACTACTACAGTACGGTGATTACTTCTGCACACCACCGCACACCAGGATCGTGACAGACGGCGTGGTCGTATACGGAGGCTCCGACGTCGACGAATCAATGATGACGGGCGAGTTTAAGCCGAACGCGAAGGGACTTGACTCGGAAGTCTTCGCAGGCACCAACAATGGAGACGGTCAGCTCATCGTGAGCTTAACGAAGCTGCCTCACGAGAACTCGGTCCAGCAGATTGCCGCCCTGGTCGAAGATGCTGAATTGACGAAACCGCGAGCACAAGCACTCGCTGATCGGGTCGCTGGTTGGTTCGTCCCTGCGATGGCTTCCATCGGGCTCACGGTCTTTCTCATCTGGCTATTTGTTGAGCGATACCATAGCACAAAATCCTGGAGGGTACGATATCTGCCCCGCGTATATCCAAAATTCTCTAGCTAACTATTTTCCAGTATGTATCCGCCAGGCTCTACTCCGCGGAGGCAGGTCGAGGTCAACGTACTGACGTATTAGCAGAAGCGCGGTACTCACTGCCATTACCTATGCCATCGCCACCCTCATCGTCTCATGTCCATGCGCCATCGGTCTTGCCGTACCCATGGTCGTCTTGATCGCAGGTGGTGTGGCCGCACGGCATGGCATCATCTTTCGGGACCCCCAGAAGCTCGAGATCGCACGCAACGTCACCGATGTCATCTTCGACAAGACCGGTACCATTACCACAGGAAGACTTGAGATCATTGGTCTCCCTATGCATCGTAACACGGACCACACGCTCATGAAGGGGCTGTTACTAGGCCTTGTGAAGGACATCAAGCACCCAGTATCCATCGCGATCACCCAGTACCTGGAACGAGACATACTCGCCCACAAGAACTTCGAACCTCTTCAGGTCAACAACATCACCAGTATTCCTGGTAAAGGCGTCCAAGGCAATTGTGCGAAAACTGGGGTAGAGATTCGCGCAGGTAACGCAGAATGGCTTCACATCAACGTCATCGGACAAGGAAAGAACACAGCATGCTACTTCACCTACGGCGGCGATCTTCGCATGAGCCTCGAACTCCTAGATCAACCCCGGCCTGAAGCAATAATGGTAATTAAAGAACTCCACGCTCGAGGAATCAACGTACACATGCTCAGTGGCGACAACGACGGGGCTGTCAGCGACGTGGCGACAACCCTATACATCGACGAGGCGAATACAAAGGCTCGATGCACACCCGAAGGAAAGATGCAGTACATTCGTGATCTGCAGGACTCGCGCAGAAAATCCATCGTCATGTTCCTCGGTGACGGAACGAACGATTCTGCAGCGCTCAAACAAGCCGACGTAGGCGTGCACCTCAATGATGGTTCCGACGTTGCAAAATCCGCAGCCGATGTCGTCCTCATCACCACCCGTCTACACGACGTTCTCATCCTACTTGATATCTCGCATGCGGCGTACCGACGTATCTGCTGGAACTTCAGTTGGTCGGCATTCTACAATTTCTTCGCCATCATCCTTGCTGCCGGCGCATTCGTCAAGCTCCAGGCCAACGTGAGGATTACGCCGCAGTGGGCGGGCCTAGGCGAGCTCATCAGCGTCCTACCGGTGGTCCTTATCGCGTTCCAGATGCGCTTCCGCAACTATGGGAAACCGTACGGAGCGATGGAGAGGACGTATCAAAAGGTTGAGGCGCCGAAGCGCGAGCAGCGACGTAGTCGCCAGAGTGCTAGTTCGGCGAGCGCTGGGTGCTGTGAAATGCCCACGTCGACTTTGGCACATGTTGACGCTATCACGGGTATGAGTGAGAAGCGGGGGCTTGGGAAGGTGGCTTATTGGCTTTCTTCGAGACGATGATTATCTTAATATGTTTTGCGTTCGTAGTTTTGTTGGGGGTTTAGGGTAGATTGGAAGCGCGTAATTCATTGTTCTTGTCTCGTTTTCATGCCTGTTTACGCTGCTTTCTATGCACACCCCTCTATTCATGTCTTGGAATGTGCCCTAGAGTATACATCGCATTTCACCGTGACATATAACGAAGTAAAGTACAGTTTATACCTCCAAGAGTATCGATGGTAAGGGAGGCGCTTACCATGGTTGCAACGGGTAACAGGAAATTAGGGTTCGATTTATCTGCTTGTCTCCCTTGAGCCTCTCTTTCCACTGAGCCCCACAGGCTTCATTTTCATCGGCTCCGGCGATTACTATCAAGCAAGCGCAGTCTGAGGAATTCGAGCTTTCGTTGGAGTCACGATCTGCAACATACGAGCTGACCTTTGCTAGGGAAGTCTTGTGAGCTTGATGCGAAGGAGAAGACGCGACCATAGGGGTGCAAGTTAGAGTAACGAGCTTCGTTCTAGCGTAGCCAACTCAATGCAGGTGTATCTTAGTAACATGATCTTTCCAATTCACCGGCACGCCTTCTCCGTCCATCAACCCATGCACATACGTATCTCCAACGAGCATATAGTGACCTCTAGACGCACCTGGAAGCGCTCGGAGGCAGAATGGTACGTTTCCTCCTAATAAGATAGCTATGAAGTCACCAGGACGCATCCCCGGCGGGCCAACGCCCATATGACCGTCTGTTGTGATGAAGAACTTTCGATGGAAACTCGATTCGAACCAAGCTTCATAGAAGAAGCGATCGTCGCTTAGATCGCCGCCGTACAAGGTGCTTACAGCAACATGACCGGTAGCGCGGGTCTGATACCAGTTCTGTAGGTTTCTCCCCAATCGAGCAACGTTGGTGTTTCCGAACTTTTGTCGCTTACTTATCTCAGGAGTGTGTCTGGATGAATCTGCTTCGTTCAACTGGAGCGTTCTCCAGCTGTCGCCGGTCAATGTACGCCAGAGGGCCTCGTCTGATGCTTGGGTTGTAGGAACCTCGCGACCTCTTTCCTTTGCAGCTTCGATCATGCGATAGCACGTCGCAATGGCATCGACGATGTCTTGGGGCTTGGAATCTGCTTCATACAGTCTTGGCCCTACTTCTGAAATTGTTTGAGCCGGCTCCAAGGCGTCTGTTATCAGTATAGCTCCTCTTCTCTCAGCATGGGATGTCGTCCAGCCCGCCGAAGAATACAGCGCCGATCGGGATATCCTACTTAGCGCTGCTATATAGCGAGCCGTGGTCTTCGGACTGACTTCGATCACCCAAGAAAGTAACCCCGGTATCCCAGACATGGTTGTGCCCATCAATGCTGTCAACGTACGGGTGCCTTGTATGTCTCTCACTATTGCTTGCGCAAAGACTTCCTCCGGAGGAAGACTGTAGTCAGGAATGATGGGGTGTAAGCCTTGCCAGTCTGTGACAAGGCCAAGCACACCGAACACTTTGTCCCTGACATCTGTGGCTTCGAGAAGATTGACTCGACGCATAACCTGACGAAGGGACAATTTCTCCCCTCGCTGCTTAGAATCCTGCAACGTTGCTGCACCGCTGTACACAGCATACAACAACTCGTCTGTAGTCACATTGTCATCTAAAGGCAGTGATGACCTCAGACTCCGACAACAAGCAAAATCGTGTTCCTTTGAGGAATAAACCGCTTTGATAAGAGATTTCCAAGGGAAAGTGAAGTTATGGTATATCACAGTGGCTCGACGGGCCAGGACTGTTTCTTGTACGGCCCATATCCGACTCCACCAAGGATTGGCACTGAACGTATTCATTGCGCGGATGACTGCCTGCCAGCCTTCCTGAGGACACAGTCTGTCGTTATCCACGGTGAAGAAAGGAGTATCGGCCAAGTGTTTATCCATGGCACGGATTCTTAAGTAAACGAAGAGTCCGAGTACGTCCTCTGCCTTATTTTTATGTTCTCTTCCTGCTTCTTGATACTTGCTCCGCTTGAAATAGGCATCCACTATCTCATCATCTCTTTCGTCTCCTGTCCAGTCAATAGTATTTGGTACTTCTGTAGGCGCTTGCTTGTCGTTTCCGTAGCCGAGCCAAATGAAGACTTCTTCCGCAGAACTGTATATCTCGCCCATAAGCTGCACTTGCTCGGATCGCTCGTTAAGATCCGACTGGTTGATGCAAGCTGCGTCCGCGTAGATGACTAACGCTTCATTCGTTCTCCGCAATCGCTGGAGCCCATTGCGCAGGTTTTGTGTAATCTCCAGTGGCTCACCATCGATGGTGATTGGCAGCGTGATCGTTGGGTCTCCCCAAACGTACGAGATGGCATAAAACTTCGGGTTGTCGTTGAGCGACACGGTCTGTAGGTGGCATTCGATGTCGTCATTCCAGGCACCTGGGTGAACGTGGAGTAGGCGTATCTCTTTTCGCGAGGCATCAAGCCAAGAATACATTTTCAGATGCAGCGCTTCCTGATGGTGCGCTGGATGGCATGTCAGGAGACGGAATGTGAGATGTATGGGTCCCCGCTTCTACTTCAGCTGCACAGGTGGCGCGGCTGCCTACAGCCTGCACGTGGGTAAGCTGAAAGCGGACAAGCGAACCAATCACCCAATATGCCGTCCAGAAGGCTGTGATCATTAGGACCAACAAAAGCGAAGCAACGCAGTGCAGCGTAACAAGGTATATAATTTCATAACCATCATAAGAATCATCGTTATATAGCCGCGTGGCCAGCATCATCATGTGATCTTCTTTCATACATCTTTCATCTTTGGCTCAATCATCAGACAAAACAGTCGAAAACCAAAAGAGAACATCAAGGAAAAGGTCATCATCGTAATATATGAGAGCAATTTCGTGAGCGCGAAAATAAAGAGGCCAACCCAGGATCAAGGGAAAGGTGATTGCCGATCCTAAAAGCAATAAGAGGAATAGGTTTTTCGCTAAAAACGCTTCAATGCCGTCGCTATGCAGCCCCGCTGGGGAGGAAGAGCAAGATCAGGGTAAGGAAAATGGGCGTGGGTATGTTGGTCGTTACATAGCCCAGCTCGTTTCGATGGGGTAGGAACAAGGCGTCCGGGCCCGGTAAGATATCACCGCAGTACTGGATAAGGATAAGCTCGTAGCAAGGCCGTAAGGGATGCAGAGTCGTAGGAATCGTGGTATCGCTGAGCTCGAGCTCTTCAAGTCTTTTGGTTCGATGCGGTCGTCGTAAGGTTTTGGTTTCGTTGTTGCTTTAGTGTGGGTCCCGTCGAGGGAAGCGAAGTCTATCGATGTCTTACACCCTGTATCCCGCCTCTTGGAGACATCCTGAGCATCTCTCGTAAGCACGGACATATCCGCGGCCGCAGTAGCATGCCGAGGTAGTCGATGGCGCGACAGAAGCCTTGCTGGGTCGTCGTCCTCCTGCCGCGGCTGCTTGTGCAGCATCGAGACCACAGTCGGAGCTCCTTGGGCTGGTGCCGCCACTGGTGGTACTGGAGCTGTCGTAGTCGTTGGATGAGGAAGTATTGCGTCGGCCCGCTCCTATCGGTGTTGGCAGTCCTTGTGCGCCCTGGCCGGGCCGTTGTCCTGGGTACATTCCATCGTTTACCGAGAAGTTGCGGCAGATCATGTAGGCTCGGGTGGCGGCGGCATTCTTGGCTAGCTCTTCGCTTTCGTATTCAACATCCGTGGAGTACTCTCGGTTGTTTACTCTGACTGTTGATCCGTAACCGTAGCGTGTTCGGTAGGTTTGGAAAAGTGGGTCAGGCCAGTGGCGCCTTTGGCAAAGACCTGTATCCGAGGGTCAGCAACCAGTACACACACATTGAATCTGCTATCGTTCTGCAAAGTCTTGGACATGGTCTTCCACCCCGTTGTGTGGATCCCCTACACTAGACAGGGCTATCACCCATGAGTCTTGCACCAATTGCCATGTCGTCAAGACCTCATTTGGCTCAACTAGATCCGGCTATGTGGTACCAACTGTCTAAAAAGAAAAGGAACAGTTCTAGCACTAACCTGTCAGGTACATAACGTAGAACATGTTGGAGGTGGTCGAAAAGGATTATTGACGTGTAATGGAGCGATTGGAACGACTGATGGCGCTTCGATGGTGAGCTGTCAGTCTGGGGGCAAGACTACTGCTGCGGAGTATTGCTGAACTGGCAAGCGTTCGTTGGTGGCGACGATAGTAGGCCGAGAAGGTATCCGTGGCAGTGGTTGTACGACGGTAAATGCTTTTAGGGTGTGGGTGACAGTTGCCAATAAAGCATTGACAGCTGTACAAAAGAGATGGAAAGCGTTGATGTATGAAGAGCAAGGTAGAGGGAGCGGCTTGCAGTCAGTCGGACGGGGATGGGGGAAGCATATGTGCCTACTGTGGGATGGAGGAATATATTGCAGCAGGCGAGTGTAGCATGTATCCAAGCGCGTCTCGCCCACCAGTAAAAACGGAGGGGCAATTGGGCTTGTGGAAATGGATAATCTGCGGGTCTTGTTGCGGCTCTGAATGAGGGAGACCCATAGTATGTGCTGGCGAGAAGGTAGCCAACGGTAGAGGTTCCAGAATTTTAGCTAGTAAGAGACTCAAACCTCAAAAGGTACAGCCTGACTGGTTCGCTCTTGCCACCGTGCTGCACGCAGTAGCGCAGTGAAAAAACGGCTGGCGATCGGACACAATTGCTGTAACCCGTTTTCCCAAGGCTGGACATGTCTCGATCGGCATTGTGCAGGTTTAGACGCCTAGGATGGGCGCATAAACAACGAGGTGGCAGACGTGCATCCTAACAGCACTCTTTGCTCGTATCTCCCGGATGCACTGGGCCCACTAATGCAATATGCAAAGTGAGGGGAGAACGCAAATACGTCAGACTCTGCACCCTTTGTCAAGTGTACCGATACCCTGAAATCTTGGCAACAGAATGCGTGATATCGGCGTATGGTTTGGGAGGCAGGGTCTGAAAGGAATCAGAGACCAGACCAGACGTGCAGCAAAAAAATGGGACTGCTAATCGGCTAGGGTACCAACCGCCAGAGTCGCGACTGGAGAGGAGTTGGACACGATTGTGTGACTGCAAGACAATGCAAAGCATAGTGGCTCGAAGCGAGAACGCGTCACAACAGGCATAGCATGGAGCTACCCGACAGCCCCAGGGGCGAGCGAGACGAGTTGATTGATGCGTTCGAGGGTTCGAGGAGATACCTGGGGTTGGTGTTACCAGAAAGCATCAAGCGTCACTGCCAACGCATACATGCAGAAAGCACGGTCCTCTGAATATCGCTACTGGGAAACGCGCCTGCAGCTCGAATAGGGAAAGGGTCAACGGCTGTTAGCTGTAAGCCGTGTGCATGCAGGCATAAATTGGCATTGCGGAGACTGTCTGATGGCGCTCAAGCACGTTCGCGAGACGTAGTGGAGTACGGTTTGACAGGCGATGATTGACGAGGAGAGGACAGCTGGAGGGGCCAGGCGTTCTCGCGCACGCGATCCCGGTCAATCGAGAGAGACAGAGATGAAGAGTTCACAGACCCTGGGATCCCCATGTTCAAGGCTGATGGTAGGGCATCAAGCAGTCCCCACTTTGCCGAAGTCAAGACATCGAAGATAGCAGGATGCCAAGCTCAGCACGAACGGGTCTGGAGCTTTGGGAGGAAATTTTCGAATCGACACAAAGGGATCATGCGTCGGGCGGCTGCAGAGCGTACTCGACAATTGACCTGCCGCGAAGTGGATAGCAGCTGTACAAAGGTTGAGGGTGCACAGAGCAAGTCGTCGTGGAGCGGAAGCAAAATTCGGACGATTCGATAGGCCGGCGCGGTTCACGACAGGCAGCGGTGCATGGCTAGGTCCCAGGTCCCAGTAAGGACCGCTTCTGTCTGGCGCCGATCCAAGATGGTGGTTGATACATGGAGCGGGACGATGGCGCTTGTGAATAGCGGCAACGAAGCGCAAGGAACAGCCACTGATATATTGGACAAAGAATAGCGTTTGAAGTCCAGACGAGCGCGTCCAAGGCCAGCAGAATCAGCGCGGAGATGAGTGAACGAGCCTCAGAACTATGTCGCACGCGCGGGAGATCTGTGGATGACGCGAGCGCGCCAGCACGGCCACCCGCCCCAAGCTGCAAAACAGGCGGTGAAGAAGCCAGCGCTGTCAACCATGCGCCCCTCTTTCTGTGCATCAATTCTTGACACTACGCATTAGCAAAGAAGACTGTTCTTCGACCTACTCGACCGCGAGAGAGGGCGGCCATTTGAACCGCAGAGTCGTCGGCCCTGGAGGCGTCCTGTCGTGGACATGTCGTCTTCGAATCGGCCTGATTCCATCAATAGGCTACTGAAGACCCACATGTTCGAGCGCTTTTCCAACCAAGAGCACCCTCACCCTCCTGTTCAGCCTCGCGCGGTGAGAGGTGGTGCTGCAGCCGGGTGTGGTGCAGGGTAATCAATCTAGAGGGGCCGGGTTTCGCGTCCATTACCGATGCTCGATGAGGGACACAACGCACCGTCCCGACCCTCCGAACCTCGACATTGCAGATTGCAGCCCCTCAGGGTCCATTCACCCTTACACAACTCGAGGATGCGGTAAAGGCTCTGGCCAGCTCTTTCCACGCTCCATGTGTGACGTCTAACAGCATATGACTGCCATCCTTCACCGGCATCGGATAGCGGTGTCTGTCGTCTATTGTCAGTAGCATCAGTTACCCCACGATTCAAACCGATATTCCCTCTCTAGTGACACGTTTCAGACTATCGAGACAGGCATGGATCGCGCATCGAGAATGTACGCCTCGCCGTCTCGTAGCAGACAGGCTACGTAATTGCTGTCAGCTCACAAACAGACCACCCGTCGTACAGGCGCCGTACGCGGGGTCAACGGCCAGACTACGGCGTCCGCAAAAAGCAAATGTAATTAGACCGTAGATGGAGTATGTACGACGTCTTGAACAATACGCTGTGCAAAGCGTAGGGGAACCGACGTTGACGTTGACGTTTCGAATGGCTCTCCGCCTACTCCGGAGTCCGACAGAGTACCTAGATATACCAACTTGACAGCCTGATACATAATATACACACATGCATACAACGAGCTGAATCATACAAACCGCCACTACAGCTTCTCTTCAATCACCAGAACCGACAACCGTCAAGATGCCTAAGATCGTCCGCCTCACCATGTTCAAGATCCCCGACCAGGACATGGTCAAAGAAGCCATCCAAATGTACAACACTCTCGCCCAAGACGCGAAAAAGGTACGTCGAAGCCCTCTCTTGACTCGCCAACATTCCCTCCAAGTCCTCCCATTCCCGTTCCAGATCTCCATACATACCCGCTTTCTCAGCCGAGTTACGGCCAGCACATATCCATCGAACGTGCAGTCCATACCGCCCGCCCCCTGCACGACGGACCATCTCGTCACGTCGGGACCCCAGATTTATTCTAGTCGCCCTCGGGCTATTTCCATCTTGCTGTCTCGATAAGAAAAGAGCGGATAATGGCGTCAACCCTCCTCTTCGCGCGCGCGGAGCAATGTCCCTGGCGGGTAATCGCTGGAAATATTGCCGCGGCTAGGAGAAATGGGGTGGGGGTGACGAGGCTGCAGCAAGCGGGCGACACCAGCGCGCGGAATCAACTCCGAGTCACGACGCACATATCGGCCGCCTTGGATCCATTGAAGCCTCACGATGGACAGACTGACGCTAGAGATATACCGACAGCCTCCGCACCGACTGACTTCCGAGGCTATCGTCGTCCGCCGTTTGTTGTTTGTTGCTGCTTATCGAGAGGATGCATGCTAACGTCATTGTGTTTTTGTGCAGGACGGCAAGACGTACATCCAGCTTGCACAAGCCAATGCCACCTATGACGACCCGCGCAGCCAGGGCTACACGATGCTGGCGCGTTGCATATTCGAGTCTAAGGAGGATATGGACTACTACGACAACCAGGATGAGGCACATGCTAAGATCAAGGCGCACTTTAAGCCGAAGGTCAACTCGCCGCCGCTCGTCCTCTACTCGGATATGGCATAGAGGGGCTGGGATGTGGGGTGTTGAGCGCTGTAGTGGAATACATGGAATCGAAAGAGTAACACATGGCAAACTTTATTTCTTGTTGTGATAATGCCAGAGATGACGAAAGATAGCGCATATGCCTACGCAAGTCTCAGCGACAATATCAGCCGAGTAGAGAAAAGAAGAGTCTTGCTCGGCCACACAAACGCATTGACAAAGCAAAGAACGTCATAACTGAGATTGATGGCATCAGACCTAGTTGCAGTCTCGTGACTCGGCCCTTCTTTGTCTGGTCCAACATCTTTGTCTGAGACATCTTCGATGGTTTACGTGCAAACCGAACGGTACGAGCTTGAGCTCTCCTATCGTCTCGCCTGAAACCTCAGGTTAAGATAACTGCCTGACGTCCGGGCAAAGTGAATAGTCTGAAATCTTGATTTCAGATAGTCTTTGATGAAGATCATCTACTGCCACGCACAAGACATGTCAACCATGAGTGAAACATCTGCTGAAGCCGCTCACCAAGCGTAGAAACAAAGCCATGACCACAAAGAATATTTTATGCCGACTTACAATGACCAAAGCCAGGATACAATGTCACAATCAACTTGACTCCGCTTCTTTGACCAGAAGAAAGAGACAACATCTTTACTGTCCAACAAAAGATACCTGTGTATCGTGGCCATCTCCGGCTACTCATAAGAGTGGAATTGGACTCAACCCCATCTCTACTTATCTAGGTAGCAAACCTGAACGACCTCATGGGCATGCAATAGTCTTCGGCATAAACTCAAACACTGAACTCACCAGCACGACAACATCAACAAATCCAAAAACCTTTCCAATTCCCCCTTACCTCCTACACAGGTGCCCGCTGAAGTTGCAGCACAGGAACCATGTCACAAAAAAAACGTCAAGCACCATCCTTACCGGGCCTACCAACGTATGACTCCTCCGCCTCTTCCTCCAGTAGCTCAGAGCCAGAACCAGAAGACTACAAACCAAAGGTCAAACAAGAAGCAGAGCCAACCCAAAAGGTAGCCGCAACCCCAAAAGTAGAGCCAGTCCAAAAGACAGAGCCAACCCAAGAAGCAGTCGCAGCGCCAGGAGTCATTGGATACAACTACCCACCGGGCTCACCCACAGAGTCCGACACCGACGAACCCGAACCCGAACTCGATCCAATCTCAGGTGATATAAATTGGGATAGCGACGAAGAACCACACGGAAACGATGGTGAAAACGAAGCAGGACCGCAGACCAGCGGTGTCGTTGCCCCCGACACCATCATTATCGTCGAAGAGCCCGTAGACCGCATATTCAGGACGCCATCCTCGACGGGCACCGTATATTCGTTTAGATCAGAACGGGCTGGAGCAGACGCAGTGGTAGTAGTAGACTCAGCAGCGTCCTCGCCACTAGGTGCAAGAAGTCCCACTCCACCCCCTCCGTCTCCAGGTCCACCTGCGAATAAGCCAAAGGAGAAAGGTATGCCAGCGGGCATTGCTCCTCGACCAGGACACCAACATGCTGAGACGGGCATGGAGGAGGACGCGCCGGATGCTGGGGTAGCCCGCGCAGTAGCCGCAGCAAAGAAACGAAAACGCGAGGAGGAAGAGAAGAATAAGCGCAAGGCCCCGCCGCGGAAGAAAGTACGCGTGGTGTCACCGGAGGATGACGACGACTTATCGGATGCGCCGTCGAATCCCGAACCTCCTTCGCCAGTTGCGGCTGTAGTTGAGAAGGGGAAGAAGGGGAGGAAGACCAACAACAGTAAGAAGGAAAACGCAAAGGCGGGATCAAAGAAAGCCCCTCCTAAAAAACCGACAAAAAAAGCCAAGGAAGGCGGTGAGGGAAAGAAGGGTGAGAATATGCAGAAAGTGAAGTGTAGTGGGGGAACGATAAAGGGCGAGCCGTGTAAGAAAGAGAAGAACATGAAGGAGGGAGATGAGTATAATTGTGGGAAGCACAAGCCTAAGGAGTGAGGTAAGGTAGGTGATCGTAACGACAATCAACGTGTAATTGTACGCAATCTTCAAATGGAAAGCTTTGTTTTCAGGTTTTGGTATTCATACCTGCAGTACAGTACATGCACACATGATCTCCGTTTCCATCTCCATCTTCATCCCCATTCTTGCCCGTTTCCTCTTGAGAAAAGGCAGCATGCCGAAGCACAACCTTGCTTATATCCCATCGCTAAACCCAACCCAAAGCATCCATCCATCCGTAGCAAACCAGACGCTTTTTCGTATCGTGAACGCACTCCCCTATGCTGAAGAGGGGAGATGTAGAGTGCTTGTAGAGACGCCTCCGTAGAAAATGCACAACTACTACCACGCAGTTCTATATGCCAGCCGGAGTGTATGCAGAAATATACAAGAAAGATACACGTTATTAAAAAAAAGTGTGTGTAGAAGATTTGCGTCGACGTGTCGTTCGACCGGGTATCTCGTGGGTGCGTTTACATGATAATCGAAGGAGCTAGATCCTGTTAGCCACTGAAATCCACGTCGTGATGTGAAGGGACACTTACTGTCAACGTTCTGCTTAATAGACTTGTGCGGCAGAACCGAACCACCATTAACGTAAACCTCATCACCAATCGTAACATCATCACCAAGCACAGTCACGTTCTCGAGACGCGCCCACTTGCCCACGGTGCTGTTCCAGCCGACAATCGAGCTCTTGACCCACGCGTGGTCCTTGACACGGCTGTTCTTGAGCAGCACACAGCGCTGGAGACGCACACCGTCGCCGATGACAACATTGGGGCCGATGGTCACGTTGGGACCGATGCGGCAGTTCTTTCCTATCTTGGCCGACTCGTCGATGAGCACGTTGCCGCCGTAGACGTAGGGTTCCGAAGCGGGGGTCAGCAGCTTGGAGTTCTTGCGCGCGAGCGAAGAGAGGTAGAGGCATGTTCCCGAGAGGAAGTCCTTGGGCTGACCGACGTCCATCCAGAAGCCCTCGAGGTCGAAGGAGTGGAGCAGGCCGTCCTTGACAATGGCGGGGAAAGTCTCTTGCTCGATGGATGTAGGGCGGAGCTCGATGCGCTTGAGCACGCTGGTGTTCATGATGTAGATACCCGCGTTGATGCGGTTGCCGACGAACTCGACGGGCTTCTCGACGAAACGGTCGATCTTGGAGGCGTGGCCGGGCTTGTGGACTACGACACCGTATTTGGAGGGCTCTTCGACCTTTGTGACAACGATGGTGCCCTCGTCGCCGTGTTGCTTGTGGAACTCGGCGAGCTGCTTGAAGGGGTAGTCGCAGGTGACGTCGGCGTTGAGGACGAAGAAGGGCGAGTCGTCCTTGCCCAGGACGTTCTCGGCGAGCTTGAGGGGGCCGGCGGTGCCGAGGGGCTCGGTCTCGACGGAGAATGTGATGGTCACGTTGTATTGCTTCTCGTACTGCGCAGCCGGTTATTCGTGTGCTCTGGTTTGCCGTGGGGCGGGTATACTCACTGTCTTGAGCGCCTCGGCCATGATCTCCGGGCGGTAGTTGACGGCGAGGACGACATCTGTGACACCGGCAGCGGCGAGGGCCTCGATCTGATGCTGGATCATGGGCTTGTTCGCGAACTCGACGAGCGGCTTGGGGTAGGTGAGGGTCTGCAATTGGCGTTAGCATGGCCGTTGCTTTTGGCATCGCGGGGCTCTCGAGCGAGGGCTGCGTGGGGAGGAGGGTTTACGAGAGGCCTCAGACGGGTACCGAACCCTCCGACGAGAATGATGGCTGCATTGGCTGTTAGCTACATATAACAGAGTTGTAATTGGCCAGGCGTACCTTTCATATTGGCGGTGTTGTAGTTGTGGAAAGGCGCAGGTACTAGGAACGTGTCGCAGGGAAGAACGGAAGAAAACAGTCAAGTCTTCAACACAGCACAAGCAGACAGTAATTGCCGGGTATAGAAGAAGAAAAGAGTCGCACGGTGGAGTGAAAGCGCAGGGCAAAGAGCAAGGGAGCTTGTTCGTGATGAGGCCAGCTGTAGGTTATATGCGTCGAAGCACCCGCGTCCACAATTAGCGGAGCTAATGCTTTCCCTGGAAATGTTCTAGCTCACACCGGCGCCGGTTCCCCTTTCTTTCACCCACCACATGCGCAACCCCCGAGTCCCGCTACGCCTCTTCAACCCACTCCCTAACCGCTATCGTGATCGTGGCCTGGCCAGATGGGCCCTGTTCCTGATCGCTCGCCCTATCCGCTTCTAATTCGGGGAGTAGCTTCGTGTTGTGACTGCTAATAGGCTGAGTTCGTATTCCATCACGAGGGAACAATCAGCTCGTCTCATTTCTGCTCGTTGGGTACGTGACGCTGGTCACCGCTCTCTTCTCCCTTTTCCAGAGCGAACTGCACCACGTGCCCGTGAAGCTGTGAATTGGGCGGCGTGGTCATCTCAGAATCTTCTGATCACGCCTCGGTCCCCACGTCGGGACCCTGAAAGCTATCCGCGCCCCTGGTACCGCCGACATGTGGCTAGCTGTGGCTGACCGAGGACACTACCAAGCCTTTGACAAACGCCAATGTATCTGTCACGTCGCTGGTGGTGCACCTGATCAATCATCAATGCACGATGTTTTGAATACCTGCAGATCCATGGTACCTCCACTCGGCCCCTCACAGCCACACTCACGATGTTCGCTCCCGCTTCAATCAGCGTTTATGCGACGCGCGTCGTGTGTTGGTGGCGAGATTGCCACGATCATGCGTCCAATGCGCTTACGCAGTCTTGAATACGGGTAGATAAAATAGAACTGCGCTTCTGCCGTTATTTTGTTCTAGTCTCCACGATGTTCTTCGGTTGCCAGCGGGACTCCCTTCGGTCATTGCAAACCATGGACATAGCATGCCGGGACCAGACCGTTTCTTCTCCGCATGCATTGGCTGAACGCTGGTTATGAATCATGTAATATACAAACTCCCCGTCCAAACGCCCAAAACACGTACTATACACAACTTCGTAACCCATCTCACATCCTACAGACTCATGTATTATCTCAACTCCTCTTCCGAAAACTCATCGACCTCAGCGCATCCCCCACACTACTCCCCCGCTTAAACATGCCCGGTCTCCTCCCGGGCCCATCCGTAGGACTCCGCTCAGGCGACAAACGCTGCCCTTGATTCCGCGGACTCCCCGTCTTCGTCGGCGTCTTAACTAGCCCCTCACCAAACACAAACTCTTTGGCGAAAATCCAATTGCCACGTTCATACCTCCACAGATCCAAACCCACGGCGCGACCCTCCTGGTTCCTCTCGCTCAACTCTTGTCGTATCGTCGCAAACGCACTGTCTACTTTCGTCTCTTCGTCGACTTTGTTCATGACGGTCCAGTGGGGGCGGAAGCCACCTGCGTCCTGCTCGCTTAGGAATTCAGACCATTGGGTTTGTAGATCGGCGTGGACGTTCTTCATCTTCGTGTAGCCTGAGTCGACGTTGATGCCTACGCCTTTGCGCATACGGAAGGGCTTCCCGGTCGAGACGTCGAAGGGCTGGATGCTCCCAGAGATCTGTGCGAGCCCTTGTTCTAGCGCTTCCATGTGCGAATGTGGGAGTGCGTGGAAGAGCGTCAGATGCGCGCCTGTGCGGTTGAGGTGCTTAGGGAAGTACTGGTTTCGCATGTCGTCCATGGGCTTGGCTAGGGAATCTGTGAGTTTGAGCGTAAGGACGTAGACTTGTTCGTCTTGGGAAGCGGTGTTCGGTCTATGTTCTTCGCGGGTATGATGCCCTGAGGGTCGACTTTCTTCCACGACGTATGGCTCATTTTGAGCCTGCTTAGGACTGGTCTTGCCTTCCTTTTTGGTTGACCAGCCGCGGAAACTCGTTTTGGCACGGATCCCTGCGCCGGGGCGTTGGGGTTTCTTGGTCTGCTCTTTTTGCTGTGCTTGCGTTGCTTCAAAGGATGCGCGTAGATCTGGGTCTGAACAGGCTCGGGCTTGGATTTGAGGCTGCCGAACCCCGCCGTTGGGTGTGCTGACGGCGGCCGCGTACGTGATTGCCATTGTGCTGAATCGTGGTGATGTTGCTGATGTGATCCCGTTACACGGTGATGATGACAAAGATTGACCCAGCTGCCTAAGGACAGCAATCCTCATCGAAAACGGGAACGTGGCTGGTGTTGTGAGTACTTTCACGAGCTGCCCCTTGAAATGTTGTACGGAACTTCGGAAGATCACATACGTCACTCGACGGCCACTAGCGATGCGCCCGCGCTATGTGGAGATGCCTCGAGCTATCGCGTTTAGGTTTATAGGACGGGAGTACCCCAAACCTCGTGATTTGAGGTGGAGATGCATTGAGTCGTAAGCTTCGAAGTATTGTACCGCAGTTTAATTAAGTATATGTAGCAGGCCAGAGCGTTCAACCGCCGCGATGTATGCGTGCTCGTATTCTGAGACCCACAGTTCTCGCTTCTACAGCGACCAGCTGCCTGCAGTCTATGTGAACTGTCCACGGGTATCAAAGACTCCCAAACTCCACGGCCCAAGACATGGTATCTGAGCAACATAGGTCCCTAGATCAGCGTCTGCTGGTGGTGCGCCATCTTCCAATCGCCTGACACGCCCTCTGAAGCACCTTCCAGCACCCATGCGCTCGAGCAGATGGCCCTGAACGTCTCGCTGTCCCTTGTCGCCTCTACGCGGTAGTAGATCAGCGCGCTGTCCTTGCCCAGTATAACGACTTCATCGTGGCTGAGTTTGTATGACTTCCAGGGCTTGAAGTCGGGGCCTTGAAGCATGTTGTGGACTGTTGGGGACGATACAGAGGTCAGGATGAGGTCGCTCGGGAAGATCATGACGGGATTGCTGGAGAGAAGCGGGACGAGTTCGGCGCCGGAACTGCATAGCGCTGCCCAGGCTTTGTGTTCGAGCGAGCATATCGCAGCGGTCAAGGACGGGTTCGTGAGCGTTGGTGTCGTCATAGTGATTTCGAATGTCGCGATGACTGAGATTGGTGTCGGGTAAAGTATTCGCGGTTCCTAAGTTACTGCGGTGTTGCAATAGTGAGCCGGCCATGATGATGGCGCCACGTTAACGGCAGAGACCTACCCCGCGACGCCATTGTGACATCACATTTCTCGTTGTCGATGCTTGCCTGGGCGGCGTTTTCGATACTTACTGTCGGTATTGTCGTCGAGATGATGCGACGTTATTCGAGATAGTCTCGCAGCTATGCGTTGTCGCATCTCAAAATTGATTTAGTCTACCAGCCAAAAGCGCGCCTTCACAAAGAGGAAGGTCGCGCGCCACGGGACCTACGCGATGGCCGCGCAACAGTCTTGCCTGGTCGAAATCTTCTCTACGCGATTTCAAGCTTGCTAGACGATGCTCGCCACTTGAAAGCCAGGAAGGTGAATCGCTCGGCGGACCCATGCCGGGTATGCGGGGTGCTGCGAGTAAGCGGGTCCGTAATCGCAACGTCGTATCGCGCATCCATACTCTGGTGTCCAATGCCGGCCTCTGCCCACGCGATAGGTGAAGACTCGGGATGCAGAGTTTGATCAAGATCTGGATGGCGAGTGTCATGGAATGTCTTCGGCCGTGGAGGCGCCGGTTGAGGACCGCAGAGGCAAGGGCGCAGCTGCCTTGGTGGCGTCTACGTCACATGTCGGGCGCATGCTGGTCCAGGCTCCAGGCGATAACGGGCGGTGGGCCAGCGGGGAACCTGCGCGGTGTAGCAGTGAAGGGCGGCCGCGACGGTGATGGAGCACAGTGAGGAGGTAATAGACAATGGACTGGGTACCGTCGTGAAGAGACAAGCCGAGTGATGGCAAACAGCGAGGTCAAGTAATGGCCCGTTGCCTGCGGTGTGTGGAAGCAGCCGGAATGTTCCCGTGCGCAGCTGCTGATTGGCGCACGGGCTCTCGCCGCATCATTACTCACTCACTGCCTCAGCCTGCCTGCATATAAACCAGCCTCTCCCCTCTCTTCCTTCTTCTCACACCACTCTCACACTCCTGCAGCCCACTCATAAGCTGTTCTACCCAACCAACACCACATCCACACCGACACACAGCACACCGCAAACATGCAGATCTTCGTAAAGACCCGTAAGTAGTCACCGCCACCGCTATGCCTCTGCGCCTCAGCTGCTAACACTCTCACAGTCACCGGCAAGACCATCACGCTCGAAGTTGAGAGCTCCGACACCATCGACAATGTCAAGAGCAAGATCCAGGACAAGGAGGGCATTCCCCCGGACCAACAGCGCTTGATCTTCGCCGGCAAGCAGCTTGAGGATGGTCGCACCTTGTCCGACTACAACATCCAGAAGGAATCGACCCTGCATCTCGTCCTCCGCCTTCGTGGAGGTATGCAGATCTTCGTCAAGACCCGTAAGTTGCCACGTCGCTGTCCATGACCCAATATCCTTACTAACTCTCTCCAGTCACCGGCAAGACCATCACCCTTGAGGTTGAGTCCTCCGATACCATCGACAACGTCAAGTCGAAGATCCAAGACAAGGAGGGCATCCCTCCGGATCAACAACGCCTCATCTTCGCCGGAAAGCAACTCGAGGATGGCCGCACCCTGTCCGACTACAACATTCAGAAGGAGTCCACCCTGCATCTCGTCCTGCGCCTGCGCGGTGGTATGCAAATCTTCGTCAAGACCCTGACCGGAAAGACCATCACCCTTGAGGTGGAATCCAGCGACACCATCGACAACGTCAAGTCGAAGATTCAGGACAAGGAGGGTATCCCTCCGGATCAGCAGCGTCTTATCTTCGCTGGTAAGCAGTTGGAAGACGGCCGTACTCTCTCCGATTACAACATCCAAAAGGAGTCCACGCTTCACTTGGTGCTTCGTCTCCGTGGTGGTATGCAGATCTTCGTCAAAACTCTTACTGGAAAGACCATCACATTGGAAGTCGAGTCCAGCGATACGATTGACAACGTAAAGTCCAAGATTCAGGACAAGGAGGGTATTCCTCCTGACCAACAGCGTCTTATCTTCGCTGGTAAGCAGTTGGAAGACGGCCGGACGCTCTCAGACTACAACATCCAGAAGGAGTCTACTCTCCACTTGGTGCTTCGTCTGCGTGGTGGACAGTAGGTGGTTGATGATTGACGGTTCACGATGATATCTGGGACAGGGCGTTCATGGGATGATCTACCTGCGGGAGATCTAGTCTTATTCATAGTTTACACGACGGCTGTTAAAGCCTGAACAATGCATTAAGCATGCCTACGGGCGCTGAGAGTTTCTCAATATTTGTCTCCCGTGATTCCCTTGTAGCTTTTTATTTTTGCGACACACATCCACTTGCTATCGCTGCAGCTGTTGCTGTCGTTGTCGCCATCTTGGTACTCAGCAAGACCAACGGCTTCATTGCGACGCCGAGAGCATGCGCTGCTGCCACGACGCTCATGTACCGCGGCTTCTTTCCGTTGACCCCACTTCTGACGCCATACACCAACATTATTTCCGCTAACTCCATGAACTGCAGTGGCACGTCGCACCAAATCCACATCTTCAAAGAGGAGAGAGTACCTTCGGACCCATTTTACAGCTCCTAAAGTCTGATCTGACTAAACCTGCGGTCTTTCCAGCTACTTCCGCCACCATCTCCGCGACAACCACCAATATATAGCTATCGCCCCGCCGTGCAGAACAACAGCTTCAGAGCTACACACTACGAAAGATACACACCTCGAAAACACAAGCGATTGCAACAATGGCAGATCAGAAGATGCAATACGTCAAGTACGAATACCTCCATTGCTGGGCCAAGGACCAGCCACGGCAATAATAACGCTGACTGGTGTACAGCTTGGGCAAGTCCGGCCTCAAGGTATCCAAAGTCATCCTGGGTGCCATGAGCTTCGGTAGTTCCAAGTGGCAGCCGTGGGTCCTGGACGAGGCTGAGAGCTTGCCGCTTCTCGAGCATGCATACAAGAGCGGCATCAACACCTGGGATACGGTAAGCCTACATAATTCTTGGCCTCATACCACTGGGACGCCGACAAACCTGGGAAACTTGCAGAGCTAACACGCGACAGGCTGATATCTACTCCCACGGCCACTCGGAGAAGATCATCGCAAAGGCGTTGAAGCAATACAACATCCCGCGTAACAAAGTCGTCCTCCTCTCCAAATGCTACTTCGGCGTCGTCGAGGAAGACCCCAGTCTGGGCATCGCGAGCGTATCCACCAATGACGGCGAGATGGTCAACCAAGTCGGCCTCAGCCGCAAGCACATCTTCGATGCAGTCGAGAAGAGCATCGAACGCCTCGGCACCTACATCGACGTGCTTCAGATTCATCGGTTGGACCGCGGTACGCCCCGGGAAGAGATCATGAAAGCGCTCAACGACGTGATCGAACGCGGATGGGTTCGTTACATAGGCGCATCTTCAATGGCAGCGTGGGAGTTCCAGACGCTACAGAACATCGCCGACCGCAACGGATGGCACAAATTCATCTCCATGCAGAACTACTACAACCTTATCTACCGCGAGGAGGAGCGCGAGATGATTCCATACTGCCAGGACACCGGTGTCGGCCTCATTCCTTGGTCTCCGATCGCTCGTGGGGCTCTTACCCGGCCTTGGAGTGACCGCACCTCCAAGCGCGCTGAGACGGACAAGTTCCTCGAGATGCTTGTGCACGGCCGCGAAGACGCCATTGACAAGAAGATCATAGAGCGTGTGGAAGAGGTGGCGAAGAAGAACAACGTTAGCATGGCGTGTATAGCGACTGCGTGGACGATTAAGAAGGGAGTTTGCCCCATTATTGGGTTGAGCTCCAAGGAGAGGATCGATGAGACTGTACGCAACAGCAACTTCAACCTCAGTGATGAGGATGCGAAGTATTTGGAGGAGGTTTATGTGCCGAAGGCCAGGCAGGGCTTCTAGACAATGGTGTCTCGATATCGTGGTTTGAGGGAATCGCCATGTAGTCGTCATCAATAGGTCTATCAGCTTGACCCCGTTCAAGGAAGGAAATAACATCTATAAGTCTACAATGCCTTACAGCTTGGTCGACGTTTATTGTTGCATTGATTTAGCCTGCGAAGTACCTGCCCTGTTGTTCCTTTGCACGCGGTAGCTCTTCAGGACGTGAGAGTCTGTTGCATGTCAGAGTATGAGCAGCGATGTCTCAACATCGCCCAATGTCTTGGCCGACATTACTTCTACCCACAACCTGATCGGCAACTTTCACTCACGAGGGCTTAGTATCTTTCATCTACTCAACATCCTCAATCCCAAGTTCTCAGCATCAACAAGAACGAACGTCACTGTTCATCCCCGTCTCCATGTTAATTCTCGACACACCGCCCCTCCAAACCCTCGTCCAACGACGCAAAAAGCAGTTTCAATTCCCCCGTTCAACGACACCAAAAGCAACCCCAATTCCCCCAAAACTTCCCCAACGCCTTTCCATCTTCATCCCCATCGGCATTACAAATCCCATACCTCACTGCCCTCACCTGACCTACTCGCCCTACCTACCACACCGCGTTCGCGCCACTAGTTCACCACTGGTCTCCCACCACACACTTACCAATCATCCCCCACCGCTAACACATCTCGAGACGAGCCCCTCGGAAAACCGTTGAGACCAATGTATGTACATCCGGAGTGCGTACATGATACATTACCTTGCATGCGCCACCACGCCGGTCTGGCGGGCGTCGTTTGTACAACGCATCAATACGTTGCTTTTTTCTCGAGCTGGGCTGTAGGGCTAGCCCCACAGGTGGCGAGGTTTCTAGCTGCTTCTAGCGGGAGGATGGTGTCTGGTAGATGGAAGTTTGGGAAAGTGGGAAATTGGGGTTCGGGGGGTTTGTGGTAGCTGGGTAGGAGGAATTCGGTATGGGCGGGTAGAAAAGGCGCAGGGAAAACTCCCTTCTAGAATCCTCGACGGCACAACTATGTCAAGAAAGAGGTAGCGAGGTGATCAAGCTCAAGATAGTGTACCGAGATCCGTGCATGAAACGTTGAGATGTAGCTAAACCACATCACATCAGTACGGATACTCGTAATCCCAACGTCGAACTTATTCCCGTACGTTCTCACGCTCCCAAGACAACCGGCTACGAAACCCGGTCCCTCAGACACGAAACCGCGTGTACTTGAACCCAGCCAAAAAAATGAGATCACCATGCGTTCCCTTTCCGGTGAATGTGGGAACACGCCTTAACACACTTACACAACGCCACACACACTCTAACCCCGCAGTAAGACAGTAACTAAGCAGAAATCTAGCCCACGGAGGTCTAAACTCTACTTTACACACATAATGATCGCAAGCATACGCCTGTTTCTATACTACCACACGATTACACGCTGTACAAGCAAGAAGACAGGCCTATCCTGTTGACAAACTCTCGCCTAAGCACGCTCATGACCCGTTGTCGCGACGGATCGGCTAGTCAGCGGGCGTGATCGTGATCGACAAGGAAGGGGCCGGGTAGATCATTCCAGAGGGCCAAAATTAACAAACCTGTTCCTCGCTCTTCTCTCAAGCGTTTGAGCGTGAGGCAGAGGACCTCATCCTAACGGATAGTGCGTCTGCGGGTAGTGTCGGAAGCGAGGGGCGGGAAAGGCGGTGTGGTGCAGCAGTCTCTTTTTTCCCGCGAGTGAGACCTAGCCGGAGTTTTGCCGGAGATGTAGTCCGGCGATTTCATGGGCTGCATTGAACGTGAAACACAAGTTGCAGTAGGAAGGAGTGTTCCTGTCGTTCTGGCTGTTTTGGGTAAGTGGGGTGCGAGGGGTTGGCGATGTAATGCAGGCACGGAGATTGGGGGTTGGTTCTGTAAAGTCTTTTGCCGTTGCGGTGTAGAAGTGGCTGGGAAGTCGGTGCGATTGAGTCACACGAACCCTTGCTCAGAAAACTTCACGTACTATACGAGTCACGATGTATGTAGAGCAGTGTAGATGTGAAGGCAATAGTGATAATACCGATATTGATAATTCCCATGTTTTGATTTTGCTATAGCCTAGCAAAATACACCCGATAAAGACAATGATGGATAGATACATACTCTGTTTTCAGTAGTTAAAAAAGAAATCCGCCTCACTCACAGCTTTCGGCACACAGGTGCCGAAAGGGCCGGAGGAGTATGTTCGAAGCCTCAAGGAAAGAAAGAAAGCCTGCTCGCTCGCTATGCCAGTAACACAATCGTCAAGAAGATGAAAAGGTGACTTTGTTCTGCTTGCTAAGAGGTTGATGACATGGTGCTGGACATCAACAACACAGGAGTGTTGGAGTGCGACACCATACCAGGGACCCCTCCAACAATGTTGCAAAGAACAACTAAAAAGGAAACAGGAAAAAAATAAACAGTTCAAAGAACACACAGGACCAGCGGTCCGCGGCTCTGCCTCGCTTGCTCGTGTTGTAAAATCAAGTAGTCGTGATCGTTGTCGTAGATCATACGTGCAGCCGTCTCCGTTCAGAAGGTCAATAAAAGTCGTATGAATTCATTTGTTGTGGTGAAAGAATATTGGTTTCCGGTGTCGCCGGGTAGTGAGCGTGATGTAGTTGGGAAGTTTAGGATAAGCCGTAATCGTTGATCGTTTCCACGATCGCGGGCTGACTTGGCATCCATAGGACACCGGGGAATCGCAGGAAATGCAGGACAGGTCGTTCATCATTTTAGGTCGGGTCGTCAGCCGTTATGCGTGCAAACATCGGACACATAAGTCGTGGGTCGTTCTATGTATATGGGTTGTGCCGTGAAAGCAGGCTGCTGAGAGGGTTGTCGGTGGATGAGTCGCGCGTAAACAATTGGTCGTGAAGAGTATGTGCAGCCTGGTGATTATATTATGGTAGGGCTTAGTTGGCCCTGATGACAAGCTTCGAGAGGAACTTGTTCGACAATGAGTCGAAGTCGGTACGGTCGAACTTGCAGTCACTTCTTGAACGGAGGTACGTTTCTGTAATGTTCGTTAGTTGGTGTAGAGAGTAGCAAGGACGTCAGACTTACCATATTTGGTGACGTGCGCGCGGACCTCGGTCATGGCATCGCAGACCGCGGGGTTGGAGGCGAGGAGGTGGTGGTGTTTCCTTGAATCCCACTCGGTGAAGGAAGGAAGCTTCTGGGAGATGGCCGAGAAGAGACCAACAATGACACCAACAGGTGTACCCTCCATCTCACCGCAGAACTTGTTGACGGCACCGACGTCGGGGACGCGGTAGTTGCAGTCGAACTGGATCAACTCCCAGACAGCAAGGAGGATAGCAGCGAGCATGAAGATGGTGGGCCAGTTCTTCAACTTGTCGCCACTGTAGACCGACTGGTAGAGCGAAGAGAGCTCCTCAAGAACATCCTTCTGCAGCTCACGCCACATGTCGGCAAGAGCACACTTGACCTGGAAGTTGATCATGACAGGTGCGATGGTCTTGCCAGAGAACTTGGACTGTTGGTCCTCGACCTTACCAGGCGTGTTGTCTTCGTCGCCGAGACCCTCGATCATGGTGACGTGGAGAGTCAGGTTGTAAGCAAGGACAAGCTTGAGCGCCTTGCGGATGACGGGAAGCTTCTCGCGAGTGTAGAAGCGGTAGGCAGTCTTCAACAACTCGGTGACAAAGTAGGTGCCCTCAAAGTACTCATCAACAAACTGCTCGAAACCACCGTCGATGTGGCGGTCAAGGTAGTCAGAGAGCATCGCGCGGGAGATGCCCTCCATACCGGCGGACAGCTTGGCTGTGTTGATCTCGAAGTGGAGACCGTTGAGGGTCTCGTGCCAGTCAACGCCGAAGCACTTCTCATCACGGACGTAGACGTCGCGGGCCATGATGGGGAGGTAGTGGCCGTAGCCGTGGGTAACGTAGATCAGACGCTCCGATGTCGAGAAGCCCTTGATGTTGCCGATAGAGAAACCAAGGCTGACGTGACGCTCGTAGTCGGCCTTCCAGTCCTTCATGAAGTAGGCAATATCCTTGATGTCGATACGCGTGCACGGGACCTGCCAGAGACGCGCGTGGGATGGCTGGCAACCAGCGCACGGGTCGCCCTTGTCACAGGTCTTCTTGAGGAACTTACACCTCAGGCATGCACGAAGCTTGCGGATCTCGTGAGCCTGCTGTCGCTGATCAGGCCTGAGAGGTCCCCTTCTCCTGCCGACGCGCTTCTCGCCTGTGGCGTCCTTCTTGGTGGTGTGGGCGGGTGTCTTCTTGACGATGGTCTTGGCAGGCTTCGATCCTGTCGCGGTCGCGGTAGCGGGTGATTTCCTGCGACGAGCCGGCGGTGAGCTGACGGCTGACGAGGTTGGCGACGCAGTATTTGACGAGGACTGTTTTATGACGATGGGCTCGACGCGTGCCATGGGCGGGCTGACGGACTGGGTAGGCGAGATGTAGCTGGCGAAGTCGTGATCGCTCATCGGCAGCCCGTGAGTGTGGTTACAGCTGTCAGAGTGGGAGTGGGAGTGGGAGTGGCTATGCGAGTGCACAAGCTCCAAGTTGTTCTCTGATTGAGGAGAATGCATGGGGAACTGTATCTCCTCGAAACTGCTGAAGGAGTGTGCTGACGGTGGCACGTCGGAGTGGTTCGAGTTTGACGAATTCGAGCCGGTGCGGATGTGGAGTGACTGGGCTGGGTTGAAGATGATGGCAGAGCTATCCGAGTAGTCGTAAGAGTTGCGGTGACCGTGGCCGAGGCCGACGTCGACCCAGCCGTTGTCGCTGCTGGAGAGCGAACGGATCTCCATCCAGTTCTCACCAGGTGAGCCAGTGCCAACGCTGGGATTTGAGTGAGCGGTGTATTCGGCGGGCGCGCTGCCGAGGTGAGTGAACTCTTGCTGGAAATCGTTCATCGTTTGCATCGTAAAGGGCGCAGTAGTCAGGGTGGGTAGCCCGTCCATGCTGGTTGTGGTCATGAAGTTCATGGGCGCCATGGACATGGAGT